GCAGTGAGTCATGATCGTGCCACTGCATTCCAGTCTGGGTGACAGAGACCCTGTCTCAATGAAAAAAAAAAAAAAAAAGCACAAAGTCTCTGAAAGTTATACAGCTACTAGGGTTGCAAACCTAAGACGCCAACCCAGATCTTTCAACCTTTGGAAAGTCTATAGTATCTATTCCCTAAACTCTTCTTGATGAGTTTTAAATTTATTTTATTTTGAGACTGAGTCTCACTCTCGCCCAGGCTGGAGTACTGTGGCACAATCTCGGCTCACTGCAGCCTCCACCTCCTGGGTTCAAGCGATTCTCCTGTCTCAGCCTCCCGAATTTATTTTTTAGAGTTGGGGTCTTGCTCTGTCACCCCAGTGCACCAGGCTGCAGTGCAGTAGCACAGTCACTTCACTAATGCCTTCAACTCCCAGGATCAAGCAACCGTCTGCCTCAGCCTCTTGAGTAGCTGGCTGGGTCTACAGGCAGGCATCACCATGCCTAACTAACTTATTTTTTATTTTTTTTAGAGATGGGGTCTCACTGTGCTGCCCGGGCTGGTCTCAAACTCCCAGACTTAAGTGAATCTCCTGCCTCAGCCTTCCAAGTTGCTGGGACTACAGACACAAGCCACTGCACCTGGCCAATAAGGAGTTTAAAGAGTGCTTATCCGAAAATGAAACTGCTAACATACAGGTCTTTGGCTGACTGTACTAGGAAGGCAGGCTTTATGAGTCACTTTTCATTCACTGATATGACACACAGATATTATAATTAACATGAGAACAAGTGCTGAGCCATTTGCAGACCCGAAACCACAAAGTATGAACTTGGCGCCCTACTACGGCCATAGCTTAGCGCCTCCCTTGGAGAGTCAGGGTAGCTTTGGGGCATCTTTTGCTGATCCTATTTGGGGACAGATGGTATAAATTCTACTCCAAATGAATGCCCTTTTCTCTCACCCATTCTAGAGTGAGCGGCCCCAAATGTGAACACTGTCTCCTGACTGTGGCCGGGTGACCCTGGGCAGCTGGTGAACCTCATCAAACTTCCATTTGCTCATCGGGAGAAGGTGAAGAATCAGATCCACGCCGATCAAGTTGTGGAGACCAGCGAGGTAATACATGGAGTACCCAGTGGGTGCCTGGCACACAGAAAGGGCTCCACAAACCCCTGCCCCTTCTCTTCACCACATTGCCAAAGGGTAAAGGGAAAGGCGTGCCTGGACCTCTAAGAAACCCAAAGGCATGAGAAAAAACAAAACACACACAACACACACACAAATTAGCTGGGTATGGTGGCGCACGCCTGTAGTCCCAGCTACTTGGGAAACTGGGAGGTGGAGGTTGCAGTGAGCTGAGATCACACCATTGCACTCTAGCCTGGCAACAGAGCAAGACTGTGTCTCACACACACAAAAATAATATATAAAAAAAATTAAAAGGCTGGGCACAGTGGCTCACATCTGCAATTCCAGCACTTTGGGAGGCCACGGTGGGTGGATCACAAGGTCAGGAGTTGAAGACCAGCCTGGTCAAGATGGTGAAACCCCGTCTCTACTAAAACTACAAACATTAGCCAGGCATGGTGGCGTGCACCTATAATTCCAGCTACTCAGGAGGCTGAGGCAGAGAACTGCTTGAACCCGGGAGGCAGAGGTTGCAGTGAGGTGAGATCGTGCTACTGCACTCCAGCCTGGGTAACGGAGCAAGACTCCTTCTCCAGCCGGGCGCAGTGGCTCACGCCTGTAATCCCAGCACTTTGGGAGGCCGAGGCGGGCGGATCACAAGGTCAGGAGATCGAGACCATGGTGAAACC